ACTGTGGTATTCTGGTTATGGTATAATTAACGCACCAGCTGTTCTATAAATTAGCTAGAGATAAATTACCTTTAGAATTTTATCCATGAAATTGGAAATTGGTTTAGTGATTTAAGCTGTTATGATTTAAGGATTTTGGGAACTTGTAAGAACTTTTACTGCAAACATTTTTCTGAAGAACGAAACAACCATCAATAAAATTATTAAATTGAAGTTATGTGAATAATTTTTACACACAAAACATTCTCTGAATTCCATTGTTGAACAATAAAGGAAGAACTTAAGCATACGAGTTGAACAGGGTAATGTACATCGGCTATATCAGCTATATACTTATTGGTAGTACACGGAAAAATCAAGAATTAAATACATCTTTCAAAATATGATTTGGAGATCTAATGTGTCTTCATTCAAAATATCCGTTTTAAGATAAGTGAAAGACCATGGGCTAAGAGAAAGTAGTGCGTATGGGTGGGCTGGATTTTCAGAAAATGCATGTATGTAACTTTTTTAATGTGTTTCAATAATATTCAAACCAATAATTTCTTTTCTGCCGCTAAATTATAAATAAGTAAATGGAAATAAATAAATGAAATTAAGCAGAAAAAATACATTAATAAGCGGTGTTCACAAAATTTAGGAATATTCATAATATATGTAAGAAAAGGGTTTTGTAGTCAATTTTTGTACATCAGCACCCAAACTATTATTAAAAGTTTAATTTGTTTGCGTAGGCGACGTAGGGCGGAACAAACGAGTAAGTTCCCAAACAAATGGAATTAGGCGCAATAGATCTATAGGTTGCTGTAAGAATCCAAACCAATTTGGATATACTACAACAATAATAATAATATATAAAGTTGATTTTTTGAGGCAAAATCTGCGACAATAAGTTTTTAAATGCTCAGCCATATATAAGACTGAGACAAGATTGTTTGTTGAAAATTTTTATGCATTTTGAGGATATCAATCCATATTTTGTCTTGACGAAAAAATAAGAAGCAAATTATTTTGATACATACATAGCTTTTTCCTGTTTTAGAACTTCGTTATATAGTTCAAGTACTGAAAAATAAAATTTCGTATTTGTATTGGCAAGTTTGCTATAATTATTCCATTCTCAACGTAGCATACTTTTTCCAGATTGTTTAAAAATAATGTGACTAAAAATCTTGAAATCTTTGAAGACCAAGGACACACCCATCTTGTTGAAATTGTAACACAGACTACGATGCTCCGTCAAGTAGTTGGTCAGAAAGCTCAGCTTTGTCACATTGAGGAGGACTAAACTATTTTATTTCATTAAAATGTTGGGATAACTTTTTACTCTTATTCTTACCTGGAGTAAACACTCTTCCAATTTTTACCTACACTTTAATCAAAAACTTGATAGAAACAAATCAACGATTTGCAATGATTAACTTAATTTATATAGCTGTAGTTTATGCGTTAGTTCTAATATATAGCACAGCAAGTGAAACTTTCACGAATAAGTTCACATTTCAAAGTTGGCAGTATTCATTTTCTGACACTTGCAGTCCAAAAATAATATATGGAATATTAAGACAACAGATCACTGATGATGTACAGCTGACAATATCTGATGGATAGTGTCAGCCCAAGAAATCACTTGATCAAAATATTTCTTATAAATATTTATAATTAATCGATTTATAAACATTATAATTTTTAATTAATTTATTTTAATATACCGAAATATAAATGTAAAATTGTCTTCGAATGAAGAAACTCGTCGTAAAAAATTTTCCGATTTATTATTTTAGCATAGCTACGTTCATGGGTGTAGACCCACTTATTTCACAAATACACTCGATCCCCAAAATTGCATAGTTGAATCGTTTTTTGCGAGATTACATGCTTATTCTTGTTATAGATTTCAGCATTACCAGGCACGCAGAAATCACCTGATCTTGAGGCGAATTTTAGGACGAATTTTTTGTGTAATCCTTTACATACTGGGGAAGAATCAGTGTACCAATAAGATGTTACAAGTAGAAAATGCGGTCCTAAGTTGCCACAATTCCTAAAATGAAAAATTATGTTGCGTTAATCAATTAAAATGGGAAATATAGATATACAGTCCGAAAAACGACGACTTTTCAATTATCCATTAATTAATTTATCTACAATAATCGCATATAGCCAAAACTATCAGTTTCTCAATATTATTCCTGCTAACATTTCCTCTTCGTCACACAGTGGATTATTATATTTCGAACGAAATTTTCAATTGATTTTAAGTGATACATATATATATTGTTGACCTCTTCAATTTTAATTATCTATTATATAAAGATAAAGGCAACAGTATAAACAATCTGTTTTTTACTGCATTCCAGAATAGTTTCTCTATCAATGGCGTATGTCTAGTGGGTGAGCTCATTTAGAACTTATTATTAAGTTATTCTCTACATGATTTTAATTACTTCTGTATCTTGCAGATTAATATAAGAAGTTCTATTCTTCTGATCCAAATGTTGGGATATGAGGATTTAAAATTTTAAAACGAAGCTTAGCTTCATGTTTCTGCAAGCCGTCGTACCGCAAATCTCTATGCCAGTAACAGTAAGTCCACATATAAAAAATGCTGTAGAATTTTTGATAAACGATAGCCAGGCGGAGAGAAGGTAAAATATGGATTGCTGCATTCGATTCCAAATAAATACAGTTTCTAAAACCGTCAAATGGAAAAGTATTTTCCAGATATTTTTGGATGAAAATATTCAGGAAAATTTAATAGACGGATGTATGTTGGGAATTTTATAAACAATGAGAGAATTTTTTTACATGTTATATGTTTTATTTTAATATGTTTTATAATTTTTTTCTGCTTAGTTTCCATTTTGCATGTTTCTCTAAAAATTTTATACTATCATAAAATATATGATATTTATATGATCGAGGCAAGATCAAGATGATTGACTTTTATCAATCCACGCTTCAAATCTACATTTGTTCCTCGCTCTTCGCAAAACGCTTTATCTTCTATTTTGATTATAGTAGGTCGGTCGAAGCGGCGGAAACTTTGTGTACCACAGAATTACAACTATTCAAAAATTCAGGTAAAGTACAATAGATTTTCGTAATTAAAGAACATTAGCAATTAAATAACTAAGTTCTTGCAGGAATATTCTGACATCCCACATTTAGGAGAAAATTAAGTATTGGTGTATATATTTACGATATTTTGGCATGCAGTTCAGCAAGACACATATCACTGTTAAGTATCTAATTGTTAACTCAGAATGGCAATACTGGAGATTACCAAATAATTCGAAATTGAGAGCATAAATTAAATGGGCTTATGCCGTGGCACGACGATGCCACGAAACCAAAAAAGTTAGTGAAGAAAGCACATGAATAATCAATATGAAAAGCGCTGCAACAACAACATCATCAAATAGCAAGAAGCCATGCTTTATTGCTCTTGCAACAATAGAATATAAAACGGCGGCGGTGATAGTTTAGACATGAGGCTCTTTGGTCGGGGGTACTGGGACGAACAAGCGGCTAAAAGAGGCGAAAAGAGGCGAAAAGAGGCATTGCTAAACGAATCTTGAGACGAAATGATTCATGCGCATTTTCTTTAGGCGATGTGTTTATGTTTCCAAATTAATAGCAACTTCTACGCCACGAAGTCTGTGGCTTTCTTTGCACTCATTTGCACTCATTTGCACTCATTTGCTCTCAGCCGACGAGCATGTTTTGTGGGCGATAGTAGGAACACATAGATGGAAGACAAAGTGTGTAAAATAGAGCAGTGCTTGAATATGAATGGTCAAAAAAGTTATAGGAACACATGAATAACAAAAAAATTATGTAAAATAATACCAATAATATGTTCAGTAATATACCTACTTTGAATACACAGAAGTATTCCTGTGGGCCTTGTATCGGACTTGATTCATACATGGAAATGTGTTCATAGCAATAAATTGTAAATAAGAGCAGCCACTTCTTCACGACTTGAAGAAGTGGCTGTTCAGTTTTCATTATAGATAACATTATTAATAGTGTAAATCCAAGATTAAATCTAAGTGTAAATTTTTACTAATTGATTGCAAAATAATTACTGCTTTAGGTTACCCACTAGCTGCAGTCTTAAATTAACAACTGGTTCACAAAGAATCAACAAAAATAAGTAGGGTTATGATTTTATGTTAATTTATGGGTTGTTCATCTGTTATGTATGTATTTCGGTCTTAAAATCAATTTGATGCACATAATAATAAAAAACGTAATTATGTATTTTACAAACATATATACACACATACGCGTGCATGTGGAATAGATCCACAAATTATATAAAAATAAAATATTTTAAGATTACCTTACGATGTTAAATAGAAGAAGTGGAGATAGTTGAATAAATTATTTTTATGTTGAGGTAAATTGAAAAATTTGGAAAAACTCCGCCCCGCCACATATGTGTGTATATAACTACACACACTTTTATGTGAAATGAAATAACTCAGAAGGAAATTATTAAAAAAATTTCCCACTATTTTCTTTATAAGCAAAACAATCAAGTTCGGCACTCATCTCTCTCACTCGCACGAGACTATTTTGTGGTTGAATTATGTCATCCATGTTTGATAATAACGGCTACGCTTAGTAGTTGAACTTTTACGTCCTTGCTTTGAAACATACCGCTGATGCATTAAAAAACGCTTGGGAATAAAAGGTTGGAGAGGCACTCAATTTTTATTTATATTTTTAGCTGTGATTGTGGACAAAATTAAAAGAACGATGCCTGAAGAATAAAATTAAGTGGTTCTTTGATAATTTTACATCTCACTCTTTCGCATTACACAGGCGCGCCCTATTATTTCTCTCACACTTATGTTACATTGTTGATACTAACGGATGAAACAATGTTGTGTTAATTTTTTTGTTGCCGTTGAAACTTGAAAGTGTGAGTGGCAACTATTGGATAAACGTGCAGCAACACAATGGCAACGGTCTCTTCGGTGATGCGATTGTCGCTCGCTTTTCCTTCCCTGTTAAGCGGTTTCTTGCAGCGCAAGCAGTTTTCTGCGTTCAGTTAATATTGAATTGTCAGTGCGAGTAGTTTCGGTGCGTTTTGTACGTAAGCAGTCGTCTGCGGTCGGTTACTAATATCTAAGGCTTGAACCTGAATCAGTTTTATTGATTTAACTTGTTTGTCGGGTTTGCTCTTAGTGTATAATTAAAATTTTATTAATTCCGATATCGCTTTTCGATTAATTGAATTTTAATTAATTTATGCGATTTGTTTACATGCAAAAACATTGCTTTTGTATAATTGAATTGTGTTCGTGAGCGTTTTTTAAAGAAATTATGGAAATTTGTGAGTGCTAAAAAATACCGTCGCGTGTTTTACCGACATTTTAAGTCAGTTTGTGGTTTAATAATGGTTTTAGACCAACAGCAGCAGCAGCAGCAGCAACATTATCAAACACAACATAACCTAAGTTCAACATTAAGTACAGGAAGCAGCAGCAGCAGCGGAGCTGGTGGCAATAGCGAAAGCGAAGGTGTCACTGCTTCAGGCAACATTCAGAATATGCCGTCGGAAAGCTTACATCCAACCGCTGCCCTGCAATTATATGCTGCAGCTGCTAGTGGCGTTTGCGTTCCTCCATGGGGCCAATTTCTACAGTTCGGCGTGCCTGGCGTTTTCAGTGGCAGCCCATTTTTAGGAAGACCTAGGTTCGATGGGGCATCTCAAAGTGCCGTCGCGGCCTCACAAATGGCTGCTGTTAACGCTAGCAATGCTTTTGCCAAACTAACAGGTCTGAGTGTAGCTATGCGCAACGTTTCGGCTGTCCAAACAACTGCAGCAGCGGCGGTAGCAACTGTTGCCATTCAGCATCGTTTAATGATTGGCAACCGACAAAATCTACCCACTGGACCGCCAAGCGAAGGATCTAACGAAGACGGTGGTAAGTAGTTGTTAAACTCATGTAATAACTTCTTACCCATATATATATATATACATTAGCAATATATACATTATTGCATTTCACTTAGAGTTATGGAAATATCAATTTTTCAAGAGAAGTATTTTATTTTTCTGTAAAATTCTTGATATAAAGCAAAAATATTGCTCCAAGTCAAAATATTTCTTCGTTATGAACTGTACTAATCATCATTCATATATATTCGAGTAATCAGAAGAATTTAAAACATGAGAAATCACCCGAAGGAAAGAAATATACGTTGATATTCTTAAAGGTGATATTTTCAAGAGCTTTATTTAAATACCAATTCTTAATTATTTCTAACAGTTGACTGTTATCTCTAATGTTTGCAAAGTTTCCATATCAAAATGTTAAATTAAGATTATTATTAAAATATAAAAACAATAATATATTTAAATTGTGAGGGTATTATTGCCTTTAGTTCATATTGTCAAATGGGAGAGGATGTGTTCTTTTGATGCCTCTCTAAGTACTCCACTGTTAGGTTTTAGCGTGTGTCTTTTGTCTATGCAGAGTTCCAAACAAGAGACTGAAACATAATAAAATTAATAAGAATGGAGTATCTTTAGACCTATCTTATGACTTTCAGTAGAATAATAGCGGTGGATGTGATTTACATTATAATTTTACTGAATAGTAGTGCAGCTTTCGTACCGAGAACTCAATTTTTGGATATATTTAAAATATTGATATGATGTAGTTTATCGTCTGTTTAAATTTTTGTTTGTATTTAGATTCTTATCAGCTTACAGACCCGAACAATTAAACGCATTTATTTAAAAATGTTGGCAAATATTGCCAACATTAATATTTGCCAACATTTTTAAATAAATGCGTTTAATTGTTTGGGTCTGTAAGCTGATAAGAATCTAAATACAAACATATATTTAAAATCACAGGATCTAGCGACAAGTACGCCGGTTATTTGCCGGCGCTTCAAAAAATGTGGCATACCACAATCGAGCTTCATAGACACCTCCATTTCACCTAAATACTTTAATAGCTACAACTAAATATTAGATTCCTAATAACAAATGGAATTTTACTATTGTAGTAAATGGAGCTATTTACTGCAAATTCTGCATTTCGATAAGAATTATATCCATCCACTGGAAGCAAATAATGCTTAATTGTTGTCAGTTTGTATTTTGGGTGCACTAGAAAGATACGAGGTCTGATAGCAATTCTTATCTTCTAAACGAATGTTGCAACTTATTCAATTCAATTGAGGATTCAGATATCAGCGGGAGAGTTTAAAATAAACACTACTATAAAATATTAATGGTGTAGTAACAAAATAGAAGTAATAATTTTTAAAGAAACTATAATTTATAGAATCTAACAAATAACTAAAAGCAGAAAGCATACATCGAATATGACATATGCAATAAATAGGAGTTTGGGACGAGAGATTCATTTGGACGTCTTGCTTTGAAAAACAATTCACATTAAAAACATGTTTTTTGTTTTAAATATATACTTTTATGTTTTGCTGAGATTGGCCACATATTCCAATATACTCAAGCAAAATAAGAGCTCAGAGTAAAAAATTTGCGGGCAGATGGATATACGCACGACTCAATCGTCGAAATTGATATACAAATATTGGTTTTCCTGAGAATGGAACAACTTCCAAAGACTTTTCTAGTGTTATAGAACCAGAACACTTGAGAAATTTATTTATAAAATTGAGTTTTATTATATTTGCTACTTTTATGCTATTTTGAAGTTACATTTAATACAATAATTAAATACGATTTACTCACCAATTTAACGTTAAATTTGTCTTGTAATGCAGACAGTAATTTTTACGGATTACATTGATCGAGTGTTGTCTACAGTGCCTTACAAATATCATGATCTATTTATGCTAAATTGTTTGAAGGGTAGTATTTATGAAAATACAATAAAAAGCTTCGAAACTAAAATTAGGTCAGAAAAGCCTAATTTTAATTAAAATTAAATTTCGTAAATTGATCTATGAAAATAATATTCGAATATATCTGTATAATATATACTATATAATATTAATGCAGTTTTTGTTCAAATGTTGCGATTCTCTTCGAATATGTAGAAACTACTAAAGAGGACTAATGTATTAAAAAATTTATTTTTATGTTTCTTCTAAGTTTTAACTTTTAATACTTATTTTGTAATTCTTAAAAAATGTCACAGAAACAAATAGTTTAAATTTAAAATTTCAAAGATTTTCAAAGAAGGTTTCCATATGACTGTGTTTTTCAAATACACTATTACAAAAGTTTAAAACTCCCCTTAGTGCAGTGGGTTGTCTCTATAATGCGGACAACTATGGTATGTTCCAAGGGTCGTTCTTATTACGAGTACCGAAGTGTTCGGTAATAAAACAAATCTCTCATCCTGTGATCTCAACTGTAATAACTATATAGAGTGATATTATATTTAACAAACTGGATCAGTTTGTTCAATAAAGTTAGTTCGTTGTGATGCATAATTCAGTTGTTTAGATTCGTCTAATTTCGGCTAAATTCGACTATATTAAATATTTATGAATTATTTAGAAATATTTTTCGAAGTGTTTGATGTGTGTTGGAATATAAAAAGTTACTCAATTACCAAGTTTCTGTTTCTATATAGAAATCATGTCCACGTGGTAAAAAATCTAAAAAATAAAATCAGATATATATTAGATCTTATTATGTTGAAGCTGTTTTGAGCTAATGCACTTAAGCACTTATACTCTTTTTTAATTCGAGGTTTCTTTAAAAACCTCTCTACACCTTGACATATTATATAATTTCAATCTTGAAGTAATTACACTTGAAAACGATACCGAAAACTTACCTTGGATTTATTACTTTATATATCAGTAGTCAAAAGATAGGAGTTTCTCAAGAGTTAAAGGAGTACTGACAAAAATCTCTGGTAAAATCTCAAGTGTTTCAAAATGCGTTGAGGGAAAGCCTCTTAAACGTATATACTCAGGACACTGTTAGTGACATACTTAAAGATATTATGTATTACGATTGCTGTTAATGAATGTCAATATTGTTTGCAAAGCTCAATAAGAATTAATTTAAAAAATATTTTCAACTTTGTCGACGGCTGAACAGCAAGAAACTACATACTAAAAACATAGCTAAGCCGGTCTAACAATTGGCTCTTGTCACGTTACTGGCCTTCATTACTGAAATTTACAATTACATATAATGTATGGATATTCAAACTTTTTACAAACTACTTTGAAAATATGAGACTTTGTTCGAATATATAGTTCCCAAATAAGGCGATTTTGCACATGGAAATCAAATATTGATGAGAGTTAAACAACAGCTACCCAACACTGGTTTAGAACTCGAACTAAATCAGTATTTAAAAAGCTAATCACAAACCGAAAGCAAAAAGTTTTTGATGTAGGAAAATTTCACATATTCCACCTTAATTTATAATAATGTAGAGTAAAGGTGAGCTTCAAGTATCACGAATTGGATTGATCAGGATTTATAATAGAAAGAGGCACAATACAGGCGGAAATCAAACACATCAGGTGTATGAGTCGATTGAAAATAGATGACTATCTTAATCAATTTTAAATATATTGACAATAACTAAACTTTATATTATAAATGTAGAAAATATAGACATGAGATTGTTATATTATCAATAAGAACAATATAAAACAAAGCTTCTACTACACTACATTCTTTAAAGTGTATGTAAGGTTATAACTTATAATCTATTGTAACTTATAATTAAATTAATAAAAAATTTTTAACAAGATTTTAATTAAATTAAGTTTTAAGTTTAATTAAGTTTGCTATTAAAATATATTAAATCTTAAAAATGTTAATTATATCGAAAATATGCACACGTCTTTCGCTTTTTCGTAGTTTTTATATACTACGATAAATTATATTGAAAATAATCTCAGAATCTTCTGCTCGTTCACTTAAAATTAGATTGCCATTTGTAATCTTTTGTCTTTTGTTAATAAAATTTTGGGCTATAATGAGTGGGATCTATTAATATCGCACTCACTCTACTATTTGCCCGTAGTGCTAGGAAAGTATTAAGCGTTTGCATATTAATCAGATCTGATCGCTGATAATGAATTATAATTTGTGGATAAGTAACTTTTCGTCTCCTTGCGAGTGTTTAGTGTGTTTGGCAATGGTATTAATGACAAACTTATTAAATGTATAGTCATTTTCATAAATGCACACTTCCAACTTGAAATCATTAATCATTTCTCAACTACAAGAAACATTTTAATGAAAAGTGATTTTCCTACGTAGCTAACGTGATGCCGCCTACCTCCTCAATAGCGCTGTGTAGCTGTGTAGTCTCGCAAAGCCAACGTCTTTCATACAGTGTAAGCTGGGAACTCGATAAACTTACTCCGCTTGGTCTCGCACGATTCAACTTGCTCGTTTATTTGCTCGCTTCCTTAATCCATGCGGGGCTTGTTGTCTGCGAATGTACGAGTGTGCGAGTGTGCGAATGATAGTTGCGGATGGAAATATATTCTACAGGAAATGGAAAATGTCATAAAATGATCGAATTCATTCATCATGTGCTAAACCAAATAAAGATGTATGCGAAGTGATTGCAGATTAAAAGTCTGTGTCTTTAAGTAATATTCCAAAACCCAATTTTTCTTATGAAATACTGAGACTGGTGCTTTTGCAATTTGTTTCACGAAATGCTAAGTATATAAATGCAAAATGTCAAAAATTAATAAAAATATTCACAAAACAAATATTAAACACGACTCAAGTATATTTTCAATAAAAACACCATAAAAAAATATAATGCCGGCTTGAAAATTTTTGTAGAAAATCTCTACTCCAAGACTCTTCAGTTGATAATTGAGGTCGACTATATATTTATATATTTATCATTTCTGTTAAAATAAATTATTCTATTGTTGCTAGAAGCATTTTTTGAAATGCAAACAAATGTTTAAGTCTCGAACATAAACA